CCACGCGTTGGGGGTGGGGCGGGCACACTGTGCATCTCCTCTTGAAGTGGAGCGACAGACGGGGCACACGGCAGGGTTTGGCCAGGACTGATCGAGGCGAGGGCAGGTGGGCAAGGAAGCAGGAGGGGCTGAGTGGGTGGGAGGGGCACCCCGCGGCGCATGCGCCGAAAGGCGAGGCGCCACCACCCTCCTGCCCACCCCCAGCCAGCCGGCGCGCCCACCTTCTTCACGCGCCCCATCTCCAGGTACTCCAGGAAGCGCGAGTAAGACATGCGGGAGGAAGCCACGCCAGCCGCGTCGTCGGCGCGCGCGGGCGCCGCCACCGCCGACAGCGCGCCCGCGCCGGCAAACAGGCTGCAGGGCGGCAGGGCCAGGGCACGGCAGGCTGAGCGTTTGGAGGGTGCAAAGCCAAACGGCCGGCTGCGCGCCGTAGAGCACTGGTGTGGCTGGGATTTGTGGGCTTTCCCACGGGTTCTGCCAGCGGCGGCCGCCCCGCATCCACACCGCAACGCGCCGCCCGCCCCCGCCCAGCGCCCAGCGAGCAGCGAGCTCACCCAGCCAGCAGGTTCCTGCGAGAGGAGGGCTCATCCTCATTCTGCCCCTGCACGAGCAGCGCGGCGTGGCGCGTGAGTGGTTTCGAGGGGTGTGGCCGCTGGCTTGCAGACACTGGCAGCAGAAGGCTCCAGCCCCAGCGCACCTGCTGCGCCCGCACTGCGCTCCTAATCAGCCTCTGTGGTGCCAGGCGGTGGCCTGCAGGGCGACAGGGGTGGCAATCAGCGGTAATGTGGAGGGGCCCCATCGGCCACCAGAGTGCAGCCCTCCAGCACCAGCCACACACCTGCAATCGGCTTGGCATTGCTGCTGAGGCCGCGCAGGCCGCTGCTGCGGGCCAGGACCGCGCTCTGCATTGGTGCTGGTGGTGGAGCGTCGAGGCGGGAGGCGGGTTGTGGCGGCAGAAGGGCCGGGAGTGAGGAAACCCACCACACAGACGGTCGAAATTGGGCGGCAGGGCAATCGACAGGCGGCAGCGGGCGGCATTTGCGCCTAGTGGATTTTCCCTCGACTTTCCATCGAGGCCAGGCGGAGTCCTGCCCTTCTCCCATCCCCGTCATGCCGCTTCCACCCCTTCAATCGACACTCCTTGCCTCCTGATCGCCCCTGGATCACTGTGAGCGTGTCAGAGGCCAACAAGCAGGCCTCCACGGCCGCACAGCCATCGATCGGGCCCTGTCCCTGTCCCTGCCCTGCCCTGCGACCTCCCAGGTTCGGCACACGATACTGCCAGCCTCAGCACGCAGCGGCGTGGTCTTTGGGGTGGCCCAGCCCGCAGTCCCTACCCATCTTCTCAGCCAGCCCCGCACTCGCCTGGACCCTCCGCTATGGCGGCACACGCCGATGTGGACCCCGTCCTCCGCGACCTGCACCGGCACGGCTTCACCGCGCTAGCCAGCGAGGTGGTGGGGTTGCAGCCGCAAAAGGTGGGCGGGCTCCCAGGGAGGGCAGGACTTGGTTTGTCGCCTGCATCACAGCTGATCGTGAATGGGGCTGCAGCGGGA